CCGATAACGCAGCGCCCCTTGTTCCCACTCCACGTCAACAACCAAGTGCAGGCACCTGCCTCTGCGCCTCTTCCACAGTTTGTCGGACATGGGGGATTCCACCGTCGTCAGACATTTGGCGCAAGAGTGGCACAAGTCACTGTAGCGCCAGACGGATCGAGCTTCAAGATATAAAGCCTCGTAACTCTGATTTGCTGAACCTCTTGAGTCAACAGAATTCAGCTACCAGTCGATCCTATACAAACAGAGTTTGTGAACTATGGTGCAATTACCACTCTTACTGATGGAGACTGTACTCTTGGAAATTATAGCCGCTGCGAAGAACAATCACAGAGGCGGTTACTGTACATTTTCTCGAAACTGACAAAAATTAAAGAGAATACCATATTTACGCATGTATAGGCCGCACATTTTTTGCCAAAAATTCAAGAGGAAAACTGGGGTGCGGCTTATATTCGAAATATTCGAAATCACACTTCATTTAAAAAATTATATTCATAATTAGTAATACAGGGTGTTCTACTCCTGAAATAATATTCCAAGAAAATTAATTTTTCTATAATTTCTGTCTGAAAATTGTGCTGCGGCCTATACACGCACGCGGCCTATACATGCGTAAATACGGAAATTCCAGTGTTCTGAATATACTTTTGAAGCAAGTGTAAGAAGATTATAAAGCCAATGAGGGTTAAGGAAATTTGAGCTTATTTCCATGTTTAAAAGTTGGAAAAAAAGCTATAATACTCCCACTTTCGTATACTATAACTTACTGTCTTCTGCACCTTATATAAATAACAAAAGGTAGGCGGGAGAAAATTGTGTCTCCTTCTTCATGTAAAGGGTAACTATATGGCGAGTTGTTTGCAAACCACTACTCTGAATCAGCTTGAAAAAAATATTTATGTTTTAATACATAAGTCCAATTATTAAGGTTTCGGTGCCGTCGTACAACAACATTTCGATTATCGTACAATAAAACTATACTTAGTGAAACCATTTTATTAACTGCACTACATGTTTTAGTCTAACTGACCGACATCAGCTTAATACCACATATAAACAACAGAATACATAAAATAATAAAAATAAATCTAAATCACAGGGAGTGCCTAGCGTGAAACAACGAATTGCCATATGCTTAACTAATTAAGCACTACCCCAAGAAGACAAAAGAGAGTGGATGTATAAATCCACATTTTATTGGCCTCGATAATAGGTGGAGAAGAGTGGTCAGCTTCACGCCCCGGCCGCTTTAACCCTGGAGAAAGAGTCCCCGGTACCCATAGGACAGAGGCTGGGTAAACCCCACACGTGGAAAAGCAGGTAAAGCTATCACTGTAAGAGGCGGTGAAGGCCCACGTGGTTGTTAGGCTTCGAGGTTCCCACGTTTCCTGGAACATCGGCTCACAGGCAAAGGTGAGGTTGTTAGCCTTGCGTGCCGGCTGCCCTTTACCCCAGTAAGATTCCTGGTACTCAGAGGCTCACTCGAAGCTAGGGCCACAGTATAGCTGGAACAATTACGATAATTGGAATATTCGATGACCTCATCGGGAATCGAACCCGCGACCGTGTACTAAAAATACATACGAAAATAATACTGACAGCAGTAATTCTCTGCAGCAATTTAACTTCACATATGGCTTTTTTATTTATTATACAGTACATATTTATTACAAGAAAAATTATTTTTTTTAAAAATCGTAGAAAAATCTCTAGATTAAGAAGTAACATATTTAATTTTAGTTTTATTTAACATGTTCAAAACCAAAGACGTAAGTAACACTATCTCCACGTGGGGGACTCTTTCCTGACAAGCTTACAGGTGCTCAGCTCTTCAAGAAGATCACATATTTTGATATGACCCGAAGGTTCATTACATGTTTGTAACATCCAGCTACTGGCCTCTCTCATGAGCCAGACGAATCCAATCAAGAGCCTCCAGTTATATATTTTTAAGCTCCACTTTAATATGACCCTTCCATCTACACGCATGCAAAATCATGTTTTTTCGGGTTTTCTGCAGAAGTATTTTTGGATTTCTTTCCTCTCGCAATGGATGCTACGCGCTCCGCCCGTCTTATCTCCCTTTATTTGGTCATTCTAATATGATCTGACGAGTTAAAATTAGGAAATTCCCCTTTATCTTGTTGTCTTCCAGCTCCTCTCACTTCGTCCCTTTTACGTCCCAATATGCACATTGCCCTCAAATATCCTCAGTCTAGATTCTTTGGTTTAGATGGCTGCCCACTTGGGCCGCACCATAGCTCAAGCGGTTAGTCGCTGGTTTCCCACCGCGGCGGCCTGGGTTCGATCCCGGGTCTGGTCAAGTGGGATTTGTGGAGGACAAAGTGGCGCTGGGGCAGGTTTTCTCCGAGTACTTCGGTTTCCCCTGCCAATCTTCATTCCACCAATTGCTCCACAATCACCCTCACCTATCATCTGGGGCTGGTACAATGGGCCAGAAGTGGCCGCAGCACAAGGAACTTTGTCCCACCCCACTAGCAATAAAAAATTATAGATGATTGACCAAGTATAACTCGTTTAAGAAACAACAGGTGAAAATATTCTGCATGTTTTGATCAATGCCTTTTTAAACACGTACATTTATAAGGCTCTTGCATTTCCAAGATATCAGGGAAGTAAAATCCGAGACCAAGAAAAGAGTTGTGTTAAGTGATAACTGTTTGTTAACTGCACAAATTTATAAATCCAATTATCTGAATTTATTCGTCACCCTGACGCCTGATTTATTATGCAAAACCTGAACAGCGCTGCGTTCTGAATTTAGAAACCTGCCTCCAGCTGAAAACACCGGTTTTAGAGAGCATCATTAAATAAGCCATAAATCTCTCAATAAAATAAAGTCGTAAATGTACTCTGTACGCAGTTAGTACTTATTCTGTCGTACAGATGGCTCTGCCAATAATAGTTCCCTTCTCTTCAGTTACTATAATTTTAATCAAAATAGCTTTTATAGAAGGGCCTCTTAAAGCCTGCATTCTGTATCTTTCAACACGTAATTTATGACGTCACGCTTGCACTGTAAATATGTGAAGCCCCTAACGCTTGTGCGCATGACAAAGAATAATGTGACGGAGAGATTTATCGCCGCGTTATAGCCGCGAAATGGCGTACGCTGACAGGTTTCATGAAACTAAGTTACCTAATAATTCACGAACGACTGAGCAGCTTTTAGATATGTTGTATCGTGTGTATTCTGTGAGTATTGATAATAATTTGACGTAAATATATTAAATGTTGTATATTATATTACGATTGATTATTTGTGCGTGTTACTCGTGAGAGATGGAGTTAAACGTCGGCTTCAACTTACAATTCCATAACATACAAGGGTGGAAATGAATACGGAAAAAATGCAAGGAAATTAGTAACTTATGTAACAAACGATAAAAATTAGTGCTGAATTCTCGACAGTTGTTACATTAATATGTAAATAAATAAATTTTGTTGTTAACTGGTAGTCCCACGGCTAATCTAGAAATTTATTGCATTTTATCAAAATTAAGTATTCATTACCATATTCACAAGAGCCTTCCACAGTGGACCTTATAATAAACCACTTGAAAATAATCTACATTCTAGCATCCTATTTCTTGAAGACCAATTTTAATGTTATCCTCCAATCACAGCCTATACGTATATATGGAAACTGTTTTACGCCTTTCGTTCTTTTCGAAATGAAATTTTGTATGGCATATAACCTCTCCCATGAGTGTCAGATTAATTTCTGAATTCTGAACTATTAGGACTGAGATTATAGAAATTCCTCCGTAACGTCTGTTGTCTTCGCCGGACTATATGGCGTTAATCACACAAGACAGATCTCTTCATGTTGCAGCTTGTCGAATTTGATGAGCTAGAACGCTGATTATTAGTACAAGTGAAACGGAGGCTGGGTTTTTTCGAGCAGCTGGAGGTCGAAAGTTTAGTAAAACCAAATGTTATGAGATTATCCATGACTTGTGTGGGATTCGAACCCACTATCCCGGCTTCCGAGAGAGCGAAGACAGTGCATGCCTTAGACCGCTCGGCTACCGTGACCGGCAGACGGAATACTTACGATCTAAAATTGAAGCTCGTTGATGTTCCATCATCCTAACGACCTGGACTTCTGAGTTCCAAGTCAAGGCACGAGGGAAGATTTCTTGGTCTCCACCGAGGAGGGTCCACGAACACTTCTATCTATTGGGCAACTAGTTCTCTTTCCCACAGAGATACTGGGTGTTCGGACTTCGTCCATCGTCCGTATTCTAAATAACTAAGAAAAACACGACGTTTCGGAAACTGGATCTGTTTCCATCCTCAGGTGAGGGAAGACACCTACTCTGTTGGGTCCCTTAGAAAGAGCTAGCCTCAATCTCTGGACGATGGACAAAGTCCGAAAACCCAGTATCTCTGTGTGTTATACACCATCGTCAGAACCCTATAGTATCTATTTCTCTTTCCATATCGCAAAGGGGCCGAAGCTTGAAGCTAACCATTAATTTCCATCCAGTGTTGAGGTTATGACTCCATGTAGTTGTACGTACATTCATTCCTGCAAGTCTCCACACTTCGGTACAGGGATTTCACTCTATTTTAACACTTCATCAATCGATAAAAGAATCATTCAATTTTTATATTAAGGACTTATATTGCATCACACATGTAGTTTGTTACATAGGTGGCAATATTTCAGTAGAACCAACTACCCTCTTCGTCAGGCTACATGAAGATTGAAGCAGAAATTTCGACCGAAACGTTCCTATAGTAATATAAACAGTCACACCTGCAATAACCTTGGCTATCACACTCAGATGCTGAGAGTGGAATATGGCTTCCGAGATCAATGACAGTTCACTTCTTACGTCAACGAATGAAAGTAACAGACAAGCAACACAACATACGCAGCAATGGACGCGGGTAGTGGGGAAACCTGGAAATCAGGCAAATTAATATGCTGCGGCCATCTTGTCCTTGGAGTCGAATGTTTGCAGTGTTTGCCTCTACCCGGAGGTAGGAACTTGGGCAGGCTTGTACTCAGCGTCAGTCTGTGTGTGAATCTCTTTCAGTACACAACGCATAATATGGCGCAGTTCTTCTTAATAGTGTTTTTATGTGGGGTGATGATATGCGGCGCTGCTCCAGGGAAGAAAGTCGAATCTAATGACGTGAGTATCTAATAATTATTTAGCTCTGGCTTTTCCCTACATTCATTGATAATATGGCTGCAAAGTATACAAAGGTGTGTAGAATTACTGCCTTCTGGAATTTGGCGTTATGTAGTCTCAGGAACCTGCTCCCTCTATCTTCAGGGTAAAAATGTGACGAATAGTAATCGTCATACTCACTATTACGATAACCTAATTTCATTTCCCATACTTCTCCTACCTTATAAGTTATGATATTTAATTACTTTAGGTACTAGTGAATATTAACAAAGCTAACACATAAAGGCATCACACGCCCTAAAGTATATGCAAAGTTAAAGCTATCCCTGTAACAGGCCGTGGAAGTCCGTAGGGTTCTGATACATCGAGGCTCGCCCATTTTCTAGACAACTGGATCACAGATGACGGTGAGGTTGTCAGCCTTATGCGCCGGCCGCCCTTTACCCCCCAGAAGATTCCTGGTATTCATTTCCGTTAGAGGCTGAGTCGATCCCAGGGCTGGAAGAATTAGGTAAACTAAAAAAAAAAATCAGTAACCTCATCGGCAATCAAACCCGCGACCTTGCGGCTTGTAATATAGTGCCTAAACCAGCTGCGCTACCGGTGGCCCACTTCACACTTCGCAGATTAGTGAATGATTTCTTCTTCCGTTCCTTTCAATATTCACCATATAAACTTAATATAATTCTATATTTCTTTTATGTATTTATGAAACACCTGCTAGACCAATATTATCTTGTGACAATGAATCATGGCAATACGAAGAAATGATGAGAAAGGCTGACGTCACAAGCAATTAATTTAATGCGTGTGTCAGAACCTGTTGGGCAGTAAGAGAAAATGAACAATTATGAGGTATTATTTTTTTTATTGCTAGTGGGGTGGGACTAAG